GCCAATTGTGAGGATGGGGTGCGGCAAAAAGGACTCAGATGCAGATCAGTTATGGTGATCAGGAGCTTTAAAGTGATGGCCAAAAACAAGTCAGGCAATCCAGTGAAACTGCTATTATTATAAAAAAAAAATGTTGGGGGTTGGTGGTGGGATTGGTACTCCAGTCACCGTAAAACAACTCACAACTGCTTGATATAAACAGACCCGATACTCTTCTGCTCTCCGTGGGAGTAGCCCTGCTGCAGCTGTCCACAAGAAGGCTGCACGCACCATGAAGGGTATGGGGGAAAGCCTTCGGGAGCCTTATCCTCAGACGAGTCAAAACTGCTGGAGAGCTAATAGGGTCAGGCCTGTTGGGGGTCGGGGCTGGTGTGGTGATGAGGCAGCACTTGGGTCCCAGTTTGAGGTGGGCCATCTGGGTAGGCGTATGGAAATCTTGTCTCTCCAGCAAGATGACTAGCTTCCTCTGCTGTCGGGGGAGCTTCGTAAACTCCGCATTTCGGTGGCAGCACTTTCTGAGGTACGCAGACCGGGGAGTGGTCAGATCTCTGTAGGTGGGTATACCTACTTTTGGTTGAATCGGTCTGATGGCTGCCATACTCAGGGAGTAGCTGTTGCTATAGTGTATTGGCTCCTCCCGATGGTGTCTGATGTTACTCCTTTCAACGAGCATATCATGAGACTCAGGCTAAAGCACTCCTTGGGTGTCTTGTCTGTTGTCTCAGTGTAGGCTCCAACCACGATGAGCGATGTTTTGTTGAGGGAGACATTTTCCTCGCAACTTTGGTGCCCATGAGGTGACACTCCTCTGGTCGTGGGTGACTTAAATGTGACCACTGGTACTGACAGGGCTGGCTATGAGCATTGTGCAGGTGCCCATGGGTCAGGAGACCGTGGTGAAAGTGGCTCCATGTTGCTTGACCTTGCGAAAGGCCAGGGGCTGCGGGTCGCTGGATCCTGGTTCCAACTCCCTGGGCCGCATCGTTGGACTTGGTACTCTAATACTGGTGGTGCAGCAAAGGTCAATCGATCACATGCTCGTGGGCAGATGCTGAACTGTAGGATCTACAGAAATGCCCAGTTTGAGAATTCTGACCACAGACTTCTTGTTGCTACTCTGAAGATTCAGCTTAGATCCAGTAGGCTATCACCTACTAGGAGAATGAGGCTGGACTTGGCCAGACTCCAAGATCAAGCTGCTTCTGATGCGTTTGCACACAGTTTGTGTGAGGAACTTGCAGACTTGGGTGCGACGGCTGACTCTAATGTGATGTAGGAGACCTTCCGTGATAAGCTTCGCATTTCTCATGGGGTGCTATTGCTTCTCTGCTGCTTTGAGGTCCACCAAGGACCACCAAGGCACCCACGGGATCGCTTCCAGGATCCCACTTCTGACACTAGTGTGGCACGGGGCGGAGCGAGGCATCGCGGGAGCAGAGAGAGACAAGGGGACTTGCTTTCCAGGGAAAAAGTGCTCTTTAATAGCAGTTCTCAAAAGGACTACAACAGGCACCCAATGAACACCGAACCAAACACACAAATGGGAAACACACGGTTGTCAAACGCCGAACTGTAAGGTGCACACATGGTGGGAGATTTATGCAAGCTAAATACATGCGAGGATCGGACAGGGTACACACAAGACATGGGCAAATACACGCGCAATAGTAGGGAAATGCAACCATTAACAAGAACAACACAACATGGGCTATTTACAACTGCACGCAGGGCATGCTGGGACATGCCCCTATAGGTGCTACAATATGTATGTCAAAGTATTTAATGATTCTATCAAAGTTATAGAAATTGTTTTTGGTTTAAATGGTGATTTGTCTGAGTAATTAGACTGAAATTCTANACACTGATCACATCATACAGGATATATGAAAATCCAAAAATAATTTATAATTTAGGACCCTACTAATAAAAATGAGAAGACCAAAGAGTTTGAACATCTTTGTGATTCCACTTGTTTAGAATAAACTGCTCTGCTGCTAAGTGAGAGGTCATGGTCGTGGTCGGGATGAAAGGGCAGGAAACAGAGAGGTACAAGATACATATCAGGCTGATCTGATTGGCTGTTCACATGGGAATTTAAGTAATAGTAAAAAGGGATTTTAGTCTACACTTACAGTATTAATTTACTCCTTTACTGCCAGTTAAAATGAGAACAATTAGATAAACAGAGACAGATACTGAGCATATGAAGTTCTTTGTACGGAGTTCTGAGACACTGTGGGAGGGCAATCGCTAATCATCTCCCTCAGACAAGCTCAGCACAGTCTCAGTCTTTTGTCATCAATCTGATATTAGGCAGTCTATCATATCACACAGTTCTTAAGTTTTCTAAAGTCTTAGATCATATAATCACACTCAAAAGACAGTTTAAATGTTCTTTCTATCATGCAAACAGAACTGAAATTGTAGCTTTACTGCATACATTTATATATTTGCATTTAGAGCAAGCATTTTAATACTGTAGGTGTACATGAGAGTAAATGGTGAATCAGTTTATTTGCTCTCTAGCCACATTAAATCCACTTGGCTACCCAGCCATTCATCAGTATGTGACCACTGCCATCTGGCGTTTAAAGAGTAAGTCTACTGTAATACAGAGTTGAAATCTTGCAAGTATTATCAGCTTATTGTGAGCATGGGGGGTGGGAAAAATGTGTCAAATGCAGATCGGTTACGGTGATCAGAAGCTTACTAATGAAAATGAGAAAATCAAAGAGTTTGAACATTGTTGTGGTTCTGCTTGTTTTGAACCAGTATGCTGCTAAGTGAGAAACTGACAAAAGGACAGGAAACAGGGAGGTATATGCTGCAGAGCAGGCTGATCTGATTGGTTGTTCACACAGGTTTGCACGGCACTGCAGTGATTTCCATTTTAATTTTTCTGGGTGTCTGTTACCTAGAGACCCTAATGAATCAGTTGTTGGATTTCCACTCATGGTGCAGCATGGTGGTGCAGTGGTTAGCACTATTGCCTCACACTTCTAGGAGCAGGGTTTGAGTCGCGGCCATAACACCATGCATGTGAAGTTTGCATGTTCTCCCTGTGTTGTCGAGGGGTTTCCTCCAGGTTCTCTGGTTTCCCCTCCACAGTCCAAAAACATGCTGAGACTAATTGGAGTTACCAAATTGCCTGTAGGTGTGAATGGTGTGTGTGCCCTGCGTTGGCTTGGTGCCCCATCCTGGGTTGTTCCCTGCCTCACACCCATAGCCTCCAGGACAGTGTAGCCTACTGTAATGCAGAATTGAAATCTTGCAAGTAATGTATTCTAATCAGCCAATTGTGAGGATGGGGTGCGGC